AAAGTGTTACAAAGGCAATAAGAAACGCACCCGACCGCTGCGTGCCATGCTGGCCGCACACCCAGCAGCTCGAGGAGCCCCGGCCGGCAGCGCAGCTCAATGGGTGCGGGTGGGAAAAGCGGCCCCACCCCCCTTCTCCCCCCCCTCCTTCCCGGCCCTTTGCACCCCAAAGCGCGGCGTGTTCGGCCGGGGGGGGGAGGAGAGGGGGGAGGGGGAAGGATTACTTTACAAATCTCCTTATTCCCTTCCCATTATAGAATCGCTTCCAGGCTGCCTTCCTCCTCTTTGCCCCCTTCCGAAAAAAAGCCCGATCTACGGAACCTCCCCCCCCAATCAAACCCCCCCACCCAACCCCCTCCCCGAAGGTGGGGATCGGCACCGATTCCATCCCGCCCAGAGCTCCGCCGGGCCGCCTCCCGCTCCCCGCCCCGCTCCTTCCCCTCCCCGAGCACTGCTGCCCCCCCTCCCCCCCCGGGGCCGCCCCCAGCACGCGGGGCCGCTCGCTAGGGCGGTGGGAGCGCCGAGGCCCGGCCGCCAGCGGAGCCCCCCCGCCGCGCCGAGGAGATTCAATGAAGCTGCAGAATCACCCTGGGCCTACTCCCGGCCACCACGCTCCCCCCCTCGGCGAGCCGCGCCGCGGGGCCCAGCCGCCCAATAGAGCCGCCTAGGAGACCCCGAGGCTCCCAGAGCTAGGAAGAAGGGACCGGCCGGTACCTGAGCGCCGTTCACGGCCATGACGGCCCGCTTCCGTAGGGAGCTCGGCGTCTCCCGTGCGCCTCACGCTGCTGCCCCCGCCGCCGCCATCTTCTCTCTCGCACGCACCAGCCGGGCGGGCAGGCGGCGCGCACTGCGCCTGCGCACAGCTCCGGATGGGAGGGGCGGGGCGGGGCGGAGTGGCTTGTGCGCGTGCGTGTTCGGCGGGCGGTGGTGGCGGGTTGTGGGCGCGCATGCGCGCTGGCTGCTGAGGAGGGCGCGGGGCGGCCGTGAGGAAGGGGTGCGGGCGGCGGGAAGCGGAGTCTAAGGGCGCTGTGAGGGCGAGGCGGAGATGGAGCCCTGCCTTCAGCCCTCCGGCGTCGTTTGTGGGCAGGCGGGCCCGAACTGAAGGGTGAACCCAGCGCCTCGTGGCTGGAGCGCTGCGGGCGGCACTCGGTCCTGGCCGCGTGGGAAGGAGCGCTTACAGCCGAATAATCTTCTGCTACGGGGAGCAGCGTTGGAAAAACATAGATGCTAAAGCGGCCGGCTTGCCCCGAGGACTTAACTCGATAGCTAAGCGCTTGAGTTCACGTCAGATTGCGTTTGGCTGCAGGCCGCGTGCCTGGCGTCGCCCCAAAGGTGTGAGCGGCAAAAGCTTCATCCCAAATCACCACAGGGAACGAGGGCAGCGGCTGTTTGGGAAAAAATCACCAAGTGACTAAGCTAATCGCGTGATTTTGACAAGGCTGAGTCATGAGTGAATGCTGGGTCCCCCCCCAGGCAAGAATCTGTCAAATTTATCGCTAATTTACTCCGTGTTTTTCTCCCGGAGTCCTGCAAAAGTCCACTGCAGTGTTAGAAAAAGCTGAAGGGGGCTGAAAGCTGAAGGGGGGAACTTTGTGACTTCGGCTGAGGTTGGCCAGAAATGCAAAGGAAACATCACCCCCTCTTTATTCAATAAAGACAAATTTGTCTCTCGTTTTGTGAAGCACAGCACTGTGCTCGTGACAGGAATGGGAAGGAACCACACTCAATGATTTTCTATATTGGTTTCTGTCCTTTTTCTTGACACGCCCTGCTACCACTCCCTTTCTTTTGTTTCTAGCAAGTGTTGCTCTTCTGTCCTAAGGCAGAGAACAAGCAGTGAAAATGGCTGTTTAATATTAAAAGGGAAAAGCAAAAAAGGGAGACAAACGTACAAGGTTTTTGCATGCAGCATTTCAAACATCTGCAACCCCCTTTCCTCCCCACCTCCCCCCGGGAGTCTAATTTACAAAGTAAATAATGGAGTGAAAATCCTGAAGGAGCTCATCTGGTTGAAGGCAAAATTCCCTTCTGCCCACAGTGCTGCCTGAGTAAATGGATGGTTTTTGCTGGAGAGATTGCCCCTTCCAATGGCTGAAAATACAAATGAGCACAGAGCCTCCCACCTGGAAACCGCTTATTTCAAATACCACCACTGCTGAAAGCCACTGCTGACAGTGAACGCTGAGATGTGGGCAGAAAGGATGTCACTGTCTGACAGTTCAGTAGCACCTAAAACACCCTCAGTTTTATCTTAATACAGGCTCACTGTAAAGTCTGTTAAAATTTTATCACAGTATTTTGTAACTTTTTTTTTTTTTTTGGAATCACAAATGAAGATTATGGTTATGGTAATCAGAAAGGATTGTCTGATGTGTGTGGCTGCTTTGTTTTTAAAAATCAGAAGTGTTACTTAAAATGCCAGGAGTCTGAGGTTCCATACTGGTAGCAGCCTCATGCCTCTAAGTGGCACAGAAACAGTGTTGGGAAGGAAGCTCTTTCAGTTCCATCCAGCCAGTTGCGTAACATAAAGCACTTTCATTGACCTCTTCTCATCTGATTCTGGATCCATTGGCTCCTTGTGTTTTAAGTTTTCAATAGAAAATCAGCTCACCCTAGGTCAGTATCCAGAGATGTCACTGGTATAGTCTGTGAAATGCAGCTGTGACAGTCCTTCCCCAGAATAAGATCCACTGAGAGCTCATAAATTTTGCCAGAGGTAAATCCATCTGTTTTCACAGTGGTCATGGGGGCACAAAAGTAATTACATGATATCATGAAGAAGGAACAGAAGTCTCTGCCAAACCAGATCCCTTTTGCTGCTAATGGTGATAATAAAACATTCAGACAGCCCTGATAAAGCTCTTCTCCTTCTGTTGTAGAACTTGCTTAGGTCCTTGTTGTCAAACCTCTTTTTTTGGACAGCAGCTTGTGCACTGGATGCTAATCTATTGGGCAGTCACTCCTGAGGCTTTTCCCAAAGCATCACACTTCAGAATATCACGAGTGCTGAAACATGCTAGCTGAATGATTATGACTTTTGAATTTTACATGACCTAAATTGCATGGGCCAGCACCAGGCACCCAGGATTTACCAAAGGAAATCAAGATAGCAGCAGAGCAGGAATGGTTACTGGTAGAGTAGCACAGGGCACCAGCAGATGATGTTTTATTCTGAAAAAAGACTAACAAAATGTTGCTTCCGAAATCCATATTCCTATGAATATAGAAAAACTGCTACAAATGCATTTCATTTGTTGATGGAAGGAACTTAAGCATAAACTAGTTCAATTTAACCTGAAACAATTTTCAAGCCTGGGCAAGTCTTTGATAGATCATGTAGATGCTTGACTCAATATATTTGTGTTTCAGTTACCTATGCAGACCCTTTGGCTGCATTATTTGTATCTTGTCGAACCTTGTCTTAAATACAAGCTTTCTGCCCTCTCATGCAATAGTCTACTTTAGGGTTGCAGTCTCCAAAGAGCCTGCACTTCTCTGTCTTACCTTCCTTTCAAATTCTGTTCAATACTTGTCACTGAACTCATCAAAATAAAAACAAAGAAACTTTTACTCCAAAGCTATATGGAGTTCCAGAAAAAGCCCATGTGATGCTAAAAAAATGCATTTGGTATCAACAAACTTAACACTGGGCTGTGTCTCTCTCATCAGGAGTGGAGTTGCCAGAAAGGAGTAGGAAACTGTATGGAGCTGGAGTTGGTGTATGCACAAACCTGCACTGCAGAGACAGCATCATCACCTGGACAAGGCATGTGTCTGCCCTGACTTTGTCTGGAGACAACCTAAAGCTGTAAGTTCATGAAGCCATAACTAGCTTCTCAGTATTACATCCATGGGAACTGAACTGTTGCAAGAAACAAACAAAAGAACATGTCATGCTACCTTTTTTTCCCCATAGAAAACATTTGAGCAACGAGTTAAGACAAATTAGCAAGCAAAGAATCACAATTGGAATCTACAAAGTTGGGTTTTTATTCTGCAAGGTAGATCATTTCTATGAAAGAATACTAAGTGTTAAATTCTTTCTCTACGTTCTCTAGACATGAGACCTTTTTTGCTGCCACTCAATAATACTGAATCCCAAACAACAGATAAAATACACCAGTACTTGGAAAAGCAAGCAGTCTGATCTCTCACTCTTAGGCACATTTTTCTCAGTGTAAGATTTGAGCCTGAAAACAAAAATATTTCATACTTCTTACTCAAGCTTTCAAAACAACTGCATCTCACACCATGGCGTAATTTTTCCTCAGGGTATCCCAAGAGATTTTTGTTATCTAACATTAGCATTGTTATCTAACAGGCAGCAGCTCCCTGACACGCTGATGCCAAGATGCACGTGTGGTGGAAGTGTGGGAAGAGAGAAACAGAGGGTTTTGGTAGCCGTTTTGTGTCAGGTAAAATGAGCTTTCATCAGAATTTGGCAATGGGAGCCTTCTTTAAAATGAGGTAAAGCAGCAGTTTTATCCCCCAGAGCAGGAAGAAAGCTGTGCTTCCTGACAAGAATGTTGTACAATGCTTATGGCTGTGGAATGTTCAGGTTCCAGAGCCAGACTGATTCTGTAAGAGCAGTAGGGTACTGTCTCTGCTCTGCCCATCCTATGTACGCACAGAGGGCTGCTTGGACTATGAGAATCAAAGCAGACATTCATTCATTCATATTTTCCATTTCGTTTGTGCAAAATTGCAGCGCACCCATTTCACAAAGCAGATCAGCACTTAGGACTGTAAGTTATTTTAAAGCCTGATGTGCTCTTAGTTAACAGGCTCCTACCACTTCCCAAGTGATGCTGAGCCAAGTCCAGGCACACAGCGTCCACTGTGAAGGGGCACCCTGTCAGGCTCTGCTTTTAGCATTGCAGACTGCCCTGGGTCTGGCAGGTGCAAATGGTGATGAAATTTACAGCAACAACAGGTAGGATACCCTAGTGACCTCTAATAGTATCAGGGACATCACATACTCATTTATAGCCTTTGTTTATTTTCAAAAGAGGATAAATGGACCAGGAAAAGTAAAGCTTACTTTGATGAGAACTGAGGTTATATTCTGCCTACACAATTGAGTGTCATGTTATGAAGTCATAAATGTGTTGACCTACTCCCCACTAAACACTATCTTTGAAAGCACCATAAAATGGATTGGGTTTTTGTAAGCACTGCAAAAGATGCAAAAAGTAATTCTGACTGCCTGGTTTGGAGCGTGATGCAGAAAAGGTGGATTAGCCAAGGAATTTACATTTCTACTTCCAACTGTTATATTTAGCTCCTGCCTACTAAAATGTTTCCATCATTATCAATCCCACCTAAAATAATTTCTCAAATATTTACAAATTCACTTGTTTCCAAGTTGTCAATAAGGAAAACAACAGTTAAATCAATCCACAAGTCAGTTATGACTACAGTATTCTAAGCTGGATTTATTTTTTTTTTCCAGACATTGATGTATTACACAAACACAATTAAATGGGTGGGAGGGCAGAGGAAATATAGGAACAAGCAACCCATTAACAAAAACAAAGCAAGTCCTTGACATTTCTTCTGTACTTACACATGAAAATGTCCCCTAAAGTTAAATAGCTCTCAGTCAACATAGCTAGGATCTCAGATATATATAAAAAAAAGCCTCACAACTCATTAATGTTTGTCATAACCAAATTTTAATTAGTTTTAGAATTAAAAAAAAAAAAAATTACCTCATGCAGTGTACAAAGGCTTTAGAACAAATTCATTAATGCAAATGAGATTAACTACTTCAGTATTTTTCTTTTAAACAAATAAGAAAAGCAAAACCTCAAGGAGTTTCCAAAAAGTCATTTAAGCTAGTTTTCCTCAATCATTTTTGAGCACCTAAGACGACACTGGTCACTTCCTTGCACTCCAGAAGTTCATTCAGAAGTACATCTTTCAATACAAAGAAGTTCTTGTAAGATAACTAAGAGCTCTCTAAATTACAAGAGCTTCAAATGACATTAAGTGCAAAAATGTTTTCTTAGTGTTTTCCAATTAATGAGGTAAATAGTTGCTAAAAAAAAAAAAACCCAAAGCCCAACCAACTAAGCAAAAACAACCAACAAAAGCAACCAACAGAAATCCCATGAACAAAAAGCAGAGAGTGTAGCAGGATATTAACAGGATATCAACTCTATGTACACTGTATGGAAAGAAAAAGGCAAATCTGAAATACATGGTTACGGTGCACAGGAATGATGTGAAAGGAGGACTGAGGAGGAAAAAAACAAACAAACAAAAACTATAATCAATACTTCCCCAGCAGAATTTTAAACCAAACCACTCAGCAGATCCCCAATGGCTGAAAATAAAATGTGTTTATTAGCATGTCTGGTGAGCTGGACTATCAGTGAAGCGGCCATACAATGGTTACAATTATAGCTGACTGCCTGACAATGCTGAGAATGTAAATGCTGCTCTGACAGCTGCATCACATCCCAACCAACTACACAAAGACTAAAAGATCCATCCAATTATGAGTTCTCGATGGCAACGACGGGGCCACAATTACAGAGCAGTAGCTCCATATTAATATATTAAATGGCAAACAAGACTGAGTTAGCAAAATGCGTTATAAAAAGTATAAAAGTTTTTAAAAAGTTTCTAAAAACTTACTCTTTTGGGAAGGAGAAACATTACTCTGTGGCCTGGCATTATAACAATAACTAATGTGGTTGTATCAGATTGCTGGTGATCAACTCCTTGCAAATCAGAGGTGCATTTGTAAAATGCCCCAGGGTGAATGCCTGAAAGCCGGCCAGACAGTCGGGGAATTTTATTATCTACAGCACAATCAGCTGTGTTTGTAGAGGGTGAACTAACACTTGGGTCAGAAATCTCTTTACTTGGTATGCAGAGAACAGCGTGAGACAGAGGATCTAACAGACAATTTTCAGTTTGGTCCTACTGTCTGGATTCCAAATGCAGTCCTGAGCATATTTTAGGTGTCTTCCTATGGAACCTGCCTTGCTGAGGAAGTTGTTCTTCTGCAAGCCTGATGAAACGTGGCTTGGAATCCTGACAGAACCTAACAGAAAAGGCAATTCTCAGGAAAAGCCAGTTTGAATTTGAAAGGCAAGGAAAGCATGAGCTGTTAGCTAAAGCAAAACAACAACAAAAAAAAATCAAGTTTCTCTTCCTCAGGATTACCAAACTCCAGTTCATCATCCTGTTTAGTCTGCTGTTTGAAGACAAATCTGGCCCCTGCTCACACTGGCTATTGGCCATGACCACTGCAAGCTCCATTCAAACGAAGCAAATCCCAGCTCATACAGGCTGGCAGTGCTGGGGAAGGACATGCTCCTGCTCTGTGCTCGCCTACAGAATCCTTCTGTCATTCCCCCACTCCTTGGAACCCTATTCAAGAATCCCCAAACTCATGGTGAACTCTTCCAGTTCCAACTGCTTTAAATCTCAATAAAAACACAGCAGTTTCCATCCAAATCCTCAAATATTTTTTCTACTACTTAAGTAGTTATTTCTCCTCATTGCAGGGCATGTTTTAAAGCCTAAGAAAAACTAGCTCTCGTATCTAGATAGGGAAAATGTTGCAACAAGGCATGCAAAATTCATATCACCTTCCCCAGATTTCAAAGTTCACAACACTATCAATCCAAGCCCCAGTCAGCCCCCATCTATTCTTTGGCCTTCTTAGAGTACAGTGGAGTTACTTGTTTAAGCTGATCTGACCTGCATTCACCTAAAGAAATACTTTCTTTGAATGCTCAAGTGTTCCAGAAATCTGATACTTAAAACTCAAAAATGTACTGTAAATGGAATCTAATGTTACAGAAAGAAATAACAAAAAAAAACCACCAAGATTTACAACGTTGAAGACCCATTTCATTTTCTTCTTAGCAGTAGCTTCTGAGCTCCTTTGAACTGCTCTGTAACTTCAAACTCATCACTTTCTATTCCGCCTCTCACCTATGTCATTATAATCCCAGCCAAAGATTCAACCTTATTTTAAAAATATGTCAGCATAATGGAATACGTGTGAAAATGCCAAAAACCACAGGTGACAAAGATTAATCCTCAACACTCAGGAGATTAGCAGAACCTCTCTTGCCATATCACCCCTTATAGAGTAGGAGAGATTTTTTGTTTTTTTTTTTCTTTTTTTTTATCTTAAAGGTGAGCTTACTCAAAAAACACATTCACTGTATGTTTGTGAGGCTTCAGGAGATACCTTTTTCCCCCTATTTAAAAAGAAAAATAAAGAGTCAAGGTTAGAAAGAAATGATAAATACAAGGGTCCTTGGGTCCACCATTAAAGGGTGGTTATCCAAAAGCAGTCATCTTCCTCGATCTTGATGTTTTTTTGTTTTTGTCTTTTTCTTTTTGTCCTCTGTTTTGGGTTTCAATGCACAGACGCATGCAGACACACCAGCAATCGCTTTGGGTAAATCAGTTCCTTTGTACCACTTATTTTTCTCCTTATCATAAACTTGGACTGTTTTGGAGAAGACTGTTTCTTCCCAGCTGTAGCCTCCAAGTATATAAATCTTGCCTTCCCAGACAGCCACCCCTGACTCACTGTTAGCTTGCAGCAGAGGAGCAACTCTGGTCCACTGGTTACATTGAGGGCTGTACGACTCCACGCTCAGAATGTCAAAACGAGCCATGGTTTCTATGTTGTCATCGCTGCCACCAATAGAATAGATATTGTCCTGTAAGGTACACATGCTGTGCCACCCCCGGGCAGTGATCATTGGTCTCTTCTCCTCCCAGACATCTGTGCGGTAATCGTAACACAGCAGGTTTTTTCTGTACGGGCCGATTTGGTAATCATGGCCACCTGAAATGTACACAAATTCCTTGTAGACCGTTCCAGCATGGCCGTAAGTAAACCTAAGGACAGGCAAGCAGAAACAATCCAATGTAGTACTTAAGGATTTTAGCAAAATGCACAAGCATTCAACAAGAACCAGTACTGAAGAAAGTAGACAGAAACTAAAGTAACTAAACTTTCCACTCTTTGAAAGGGTAGATAACTGCAGGACGAGGGGAAATGGTTTTAAGTTGAGGGAGGGAAGATTTAGGTTGGACGTTGGGGAAGTTCTTTACAGAGAGAGTGCTGAGGTGCTGGAACAGGATGCCCAGAGAGGTTGTGGATGCCCCGTCCCTGGAAGTGTTCAAGGCCAGATTGGATGGGGCCCTGGGCAGCCTGGTCTAATGTTAAATGGGGAGGTTGGTGGCCCTGCATGTGGCAGGGGGTTGGAGATTCATGATCCTTGAGGTCCCTTCCAACCCGGGTCATTCTATGATCCTGTGATTCCGAAAAGAGAGAAGAATTCCTTTTATTTATGGGCATGATACATGAGCTATCTACCTGCTGCTCTACCACTTCTGCTAAACAGGTGATCATTTCTTTGGTCGCCCCAAGACAAGGCAGCAAGCTTCAATCAATCACAGACCACCTTTTCAAGTAAGATGAAACAAGATGATAGAAACCAACTTCATACATGCTGTTTCCACAGGGCACAGAGAAAACCTCTTTGATCAGCTGTAATAAAGCTGCTACAAAATCAATTCTTGAGGCTTTTCTTAACTTCACATTCAGATATTTCTAACCAAACCCTTCTGAGCTCTTAGAAGAGGAATGCTAAGGTGAGGGACAGCCTTGGCTTCCTTGAACATACCCTACCTGCACTTGTCTTTTTTCCCTCTTTTATTTCCAAAAGAAGTAGCTGCAGTACCAGCCATGACAAACTGGAAGATGGATTGATAAAAAGAGCCCAAACAATTTAATAGTCACAAGGCTGCAGAACAATATATACTTCACCCTGCACTCGTGAGCCTCTGCTACCATCCTTTGTAGTCATGGTCTCAACAACTCAACCTCTATGGCAGACAAACCTATGTTAGCATTACTTTAGCCAGGAATGCTTTTGAACTGTGCCTCAACACGCTTAAAATTCAATGTGGATAGAACCTGAAGGTGTTTTTATTTTGTAATGTAAGAGTTTGTCTCAGCTACACAAACTTCTTCCACATATAAATGCCAAGTGCTGTTGTTATGCCAGGAGAATAGGTGGAATAGAAAGAAAACCCACATTTACCCTGAAAGCATGATACTTTGGAGAAAAGCTACAAGATGCTTATTATTCTATATGTCTACCAAAGCTTCTGATCGCTGACCAGTGTGTGAATCAGACATATTAGTAAGCTCCTTCTTCAAGAAACAGAACAGTCGTTGACATACTTGACCTAAGAATGCTGGGTGGCCAGGACAGACGCCGCAGCTAACAAGGGCTGATCACCTTCAGAATGATACTGCCTCTTAGCCACCCAGAAAAAAAGGACAAGACTAAGGTGTTATGCAAAAAGACAACTCAAAAATGCCACAGCTCACAATCTGCCTAACTCTGGAAGAATAACACTCATGCTTGGTATGTCTATTTGACACGAAATTCCCTGCGCACACACATTCCTGCTTTTGCACCTGCCAGAAATGCTGTGGCAGGTGTAATGTAGATGAGATGCATCTCTACCTTGTGTGTGGTCTCTTAGGGACAAAAACTGGGAGCATAAGCCTCCAGTGGCATAGAATCAGGTTGCTTCTCTATATATACATGGATGGGTCTTAAAAGGTAGAGTATCTAGGAGGTAAGGATGGATAACATTTGGGGAAAAAAATAGAAGACCATAAGTTAAGAAGATATTCAGTGACATTTAGAGAAGCAGGATGTTTTTCTACAGTACCAAGAAAGAGGAATTCTATGCAAATAAGAAACAGGCAGTCCGCTCTCAAGCACATGAAGGCAGTCTAGCATAGACAGCTATAAAAAAAGCACTTCTGCTTTCCTTTTTGCCTCCATCAACAGGCACGTCCAGTGAACTGCAATAGCTACAAGAGTAATTTGAGAAAGGCTATCATATCTGAAGCATAAAATTGACCATCAGCTTGTTGTTTTCCAGTACAGGGAAATTACCTGCTGAAATAGCTTAGAGGTGTTTCACTTAGCCTGACATATGAAAAGATCGTTCAAAGTTGTACATACACAGCTTTACATTAGTAGAAACTGCATGAAACCTAATGCACAAATTGAAAACAGTCAATAAGAATCCTTTCTAAAAGCCATGTGGCTTCAACAGCAGTATTTCTAAGCGTGCAGCAGAACAGGACACTTCAATACCATGGGTCCAGACATCCCCTGACAGAAAGCAGTGAGTGTTTTGGGAGCACCATCTATAAGAGTGGCCAGAAAAAGATAAAGGCATTAAGGAGAAAGAAGTTTCAATTCAGAACATCTATTAGAGCCAATTGCCAATTTTGAATCTTTCCCAGAACATAATGCTGCAAAAATTACAGCTTCTGTCACAGTAACACCATTTGGTGAGCACTATCTACAATTTATGCTCTTAAGCAGAAGAAACCCCACGCACTTGGCCTAAGTTGATACAGCTTTGGGAATCCCCCACTCCAAGTGAAGCCCTGGCGAGCTGTGGTTGCTCAGAATCTTGATGTCCACCTGTTGCAACCATGCAAGATTATTCACGACACAACTAGTAGAACAGACACCATCATTTATTAACCTGTTCCAACACATTTCCTCACACAACTGCTTTCAGTTGTTCTGCCAAAGTTTAACCTGGAGCCACTCAATTAATTACACCGATGTCTACAGCAGACTTTTTCAAAGTCTACTCAAAATGAGAACACGTTGCACAAACCTCTGCTCTGCCAAACTCGTCAGTCACTGCTGTTCCCTTGTGGGCTAGAAACTATGTCAGCAACTGCTTCCAAAGAGCTTGGGAAACTGGACAAAAAAATAAGGACCTCTCCTAAGAGTGGGAAAGCCCAGGACCCTAATGAGATTCAGGCAACATTCACTTGAAATTGACTTAGGTCTCACTTGTAGCAGACTTGGACAAGGTCCATCATTTAGCATGGATAATGTTTTCTATGTCAAGCATCTGTCTCAAGATGCTATGCTTTCTTCTCCAGAAGACTGCATTACTTCAGTCAAAACAGCTTCGCTCCTTCCAAGAACGTGGTTAAGGAAAATGTGTTGTTTTGACCATGTTGGGATGGAAAGGGGGTGGGGAGGAATATGAAAGAAAAAAAAAAGAGCCTGAAAAGGTCTTCCTTAGAGAAGCATTGCAGTTCCTGGACACAGTAACATGGATGTAGAACTGGGAATGGACCTGTGTACCAAGGATGCAACCTCTGCCTTGGCAAGCTATAATCCTTCCAAGAAGAAAAAATAATCACAAAAAAAAAAC